CTCGAACCCGTACTTGTCCTTTCCGGGGACCGTGCTCTTATCCCTTACACTACCGAGAGTCTATCACTATCTATATAACACACTGGGCGCATTAAAGCGGTGAATTTACTTCATTGGCATTGAGTATCCACCTACTGTAAAAGTAGAGAAGGATCTGGATGCAAGTTCAATTTCATCTGTCAATTTTGTCTTTCAATTTGGGCTGTGATGTACATAATCTGTAAGGCATAATCTCATCCACAAGGGCAGATATTGTATCTTCTATCAATGAGGTTTTGTGCACTTTTACGTGGTTGTTTCCACGTCATTCTCTTGCTAATTCCATATTCATGCATTTTTTTTTTGTTGGAGGGCATGACCAGGTTTTTCACAGTGATGCAAATGGATGCAGAAGCAGACAATGTGGTTTAATGGCGACCGCTGCATCTGGGGATGCTTTGATTTGTTTAGTTGCGACAATCCTCAGCACTGCTAACACTTAAATTGGAGGGTTTCCATATGAACTAGCCTTTAAAAATCATTATGGACAGAAGCGTTGCTCGTCATCTCAGAAACGGGATCGATTAATACCAAAAGACTTGACCCACACTATTCTTGCCCACGAATATGAACAATGCGGAGTGAGTACAAGCCGATCATCCTTCTCAAAGGAAGAAATCATGTGTCGACCAAGGTTCATCTTTGAAGCATAAAGTAAAGCCTAAAGTCTTGGGGCGTTAATCAATCCCATCTCAGTGATGCGTCCACGCATTTGACTTCCGTATTGAATGCGTATGTGGACTATTCAATGACTTGCGGTGGCCAGCCGATGTACAAGTCAGTGCTTTTATCCTCCCGGACGAGTCTGGTGCCAACTCACCGACCCCGGAGGGTTGGAAGGCTTGGTTGGCTCAAGCGGATATCAATCCGAGATTCGAACCCGTAACCGTGCGCGTGTGAAGTGCGCCACTTGCCACTCCATCTTCGCCCTATTTTACTTTTAAGAGACTATCTTCGAAGTAAANTCTTTGAAGCATAAAGTAAAGCCTAAAGTCTTGGGGCGTTAATCAATCCCATCTCAGTGATGCGTCCACGCATTTGACTTCGGTTGGAAGGCTTGGTTGGCTCAAGCGGATATCAATCCGAGATTCGAACCCGTAACCGTGCGCGTGTGAAGTGCGCCACTTGCCACTCCATCTTCGCCCTATTTTACTTTTAAGAGACTATCTTCGAAGTAAATGTTGAATAACTGTAAAACTTATTGTGCAGTATTATTCATTTTATTTTGAAATAAGCTCATGTAATTATTATTCGTGGGGCAGTGGGGCGAATCTTTCAACTAATAATAAAGGTTAAAACTACATTTTTTTGAGACATTTTATTTTCTTATTCAAGCGAAACTTGTCAATTTTTTTCTAGCTCCCACAATCAATCAATGAAGTGGCACATGAAAATATATGGAAAACCGGATTACCTCTCAGTTTTCGCACCTAATTGAGGGCGCCTCGCACTTGAGTGCGAGGCAACTCTAATTGTTGTTTTCGTCCCAACATTCGCGCACTCACTAATAGGGACCTTTCAGAAGTAATTTAAAAAATCTGAAAATGAGCTTTTTCAAATAGCCCGCTGCATTTTAAAAGTGCTGTATTGAATTGCAGCGAGATCGTGTACAACCTTTCGTGAACAGAAGGGATGCTTGAGATTAGGGGCGATTTGGGTGTGGTTGTTTGGAAGTGTTCCCGATTGAAGCAATTATTAGCCTAAAGCAAAATGGGTCTTGTACAGGTAGATAGGTGGAGTAACCCTGAGGTGTTTCATGTCCAATTCTTCATTTTTTCGGATAGTTCGTTTGGGCTTGGGTACTGTGAACAATAAATGAATACTTCATTTCAGTTTTGGTGATTCAGCATTTTAGAGGAGATTTCTAACCTTTGGGGTTCGAATTGTCATGCAGCGGTTTGAGCTGGACAAGCGAATATAGTTGATTGATTCAGCTGCTTCTTTGATCTTTGCAGATCTCCAGACTAGGATTTTTTTTAGTGAGAAATAAAGTGGCCCGGTATTGTTTTGAGTCTTCCGCATAGTAAGGTTTCTGTAAGTAGTTCTCCTGTGCCCAACAACTTCATCTCAGTATGCTTACAATCAAAGTGGATGAGGAACTTCATATCCTCTCAGTGCGTTATAACAGAGAGTTCCGCTTCCGTTGGGCAGTATGGCGTCTTTGAACTTTAATTTCTTTACCGAAAAGCATTCCTTATTTCCTGTTTATGATAAAAAAAATATTTTTTTGTATTTGGCTGTACTTAGCTGTAATTCCGTAAGGCTTTGAAGAATGCATATGGTTCGATAGGTTGAGATTAATTTCGAGAAAATCGAGAG